TGTTCTTTTCCTTTAACCAAACCTTTTTTTTTTATATCTTCAGCCACGCTCCGATACTCACTTCTTCTTTTACTTGTCTCCCCTGCCCTCCAGCACACCTCAGTGGATGAGTAAGTGTTCCCTCTGTCTCTGATACACTCATAATCCTTTTACACAATAGCAACTAGTAATAATAGCTGAGCGTTAAGTGTTGCCGCCTCTTAGCTGGGACAACCAAAACACACACACTCACCTTCAAACCATCCCAGCCATGCCTGTACAGAGTGTTTATGAGAGTCTGGAACTTGTCATAATCAGCGTTTGCACATATTTTGGTACCTGTGTCATTCGGCCAAGTCAACCAGCCTAAGGTCGGGGTTTTTAATGGAGCCCACACATAAACACACACACTCACTCAGCCCACTCTGTGAACCACACAAACGCGTATAAAAGACGGCAAAAAAAAAAAAAACACTTTCCTGCTGGGACTGACCTCAATACAGAGGGAAGTGAAAAGGAAAGGCAGTGAAGCAGTGGGAAATTTCTTCCACGTAACATGCAGATCACATGTCTCTCCACAACTATTCAGAGAAAAGAGAGACGTAACGAGCGCAGAGGATAAAAGAAATAGCCGATGACGTGTGACAGTGTGGACTTTTATTCAGTCAAAACAAGAGCACAGACTCGGAAGTTTGCAGTGAATGGAGGTATTGTCGTGGTCACGAGGCCCCACTTTTCCTTCTTCTTCCTCTTCCTGCTTCCTCCGTCATGCCTGCTAGAGCCATCTCTTTTCCTTTGTGTCCAGCTTCCTTCGTCCTCTCTGCACACCGCCAAAGCCAAAACGTTGTTTTTGTCTTTGTAGCAAAACAGGCGATCGGCCATCCTGAAGTGTGACTATTTTTATCCTGGTTTGTTTTTGAAGCAGGTAGAAAGCAAAAGTGTTTTGTTTTTTTGTTGTTGTTTTTTTTTATCACCCGTCATCCAGTTTTTTGTAAACCTCGCTGTTATTCTCTACATAAGTTTACACACATACCTCCACACACACACACCGGTTATATCACAGGAGTCAGATCTGTTATGCGCTATCACAAGTGGACGTGCTGTGTAATCCATGTAGGTGGCCTCTTGTGACCTACTTTCACATGAAGCACCCCACAGTGTGAAAGCATTGGCTCACCTACACCACCGTTATTACATTACCTTCAGACCTGTGCCATCATTTCATTAACCGCGCATCTTTTTTTTAATGTTTCTTATCATCGTTTGTCCGGGACTTTCTCAGGAATTGTGAATTACACACATCTCTTGTTGCTCTTATTTTTGCCTGCGTCTTTCTCGGTGTGTATCCTGTAACCGTGTTACGTGCGTAGTCTTAAGTAGCCACAAGTGAATCACCGTCACAGCTCTGAAAGGTCAAATCCGATTTGAGGTCAGTTAGAGTGGCGTGAAATCAAGTCGGTGTAAAATGGAAAAAAAATGTTTGTTTCACTCTTTCCATGGAATAACCCTGACTTCATCACTCCCCTCTTCTGGGGTGTTTACAGTAGCCACGTTAGCCTTTTTGTTGCAATAGAAAGGCTCTGACCTACTTGTGTATGTGTGTGTGTGTGTGTGTGTGTGTGTGTGTGTTTGTTTGGCTTATATTATGTGGCTTATATTATTCCAGTGCGGGAGATGTATCTGGCATTTGATCTGTCCAAGCCTGCAGTTGCTACACAGCCTGCTGTGAGAGTAATAGTACTGCAACCTCTACACACACGTATTCGCACAACTTTGCTCTCATACTGTCACATTTAATTCAGCTCTGTTCTGCAGGCAGCCTCCAGACAGACAGACAGACACACACACACACACACAGACACACAGTGTGTCTGTCTGTCTGTCTGTCCTGCCTCATTCGAGTGGCTGCATGTGATTCATATTTGCAAAGTAGTCAGGAAGAGAGTAATTACATGTAAAGACCATTCAGAGTAGAATAGGTTCACATCCCTGTTTAAAGGAGGAGTTTGATTTGTTAGAGGATGCTGCTGGCTCAGTTCAATTAGCCTGCACTGTAAACCAGAGGCATCAGTATGCAGCTACCGTTCACTAACTGCTGCATTTTAAACTACATATGGAAACACTGGATATCTCAAGAGTGTCAAACTTTTTTTTTTTTCTCCCACATCCATTACTACTGATCTGATCCTCTGCAGTGAAGCCAAGCAGCTAAACGTTGGTAACATTTCAGAGATTCATCACAACGCCACATCAAGGAATATCTTCAATTTTTTCCTTCTCAATTCCTGCAGATGCGCCATATTCATCAATCGAACGTGTTCCATGATAGAATTCACATTGACTCGTTCAGTGGATCAAACACCCAGACTGCAAATGTTTCTTTTTTGGTCGTACTCAAAAAGTTCTCCGTCCAGGATTGCCGCCCCCCCTGTGTACCTGCAGACCCCTAGCTATTGTTCCACGGTGCCCTGCTTTGTTTAGAAACCTGCAGCTTGTGCCAATATCTTGTGTATCCACCTTTCAGTCCAGAACACATCTGCAGCCAGCAGTATAAACCCCCTCCAGACTCAGACTAGTTCAGTAAGTCAGACTGCTGGATTGTTTTTGGAAATCCTCCCTCGTGATTCCCTGCCTTTCTTTGTGTCTCTTCTCTGAAGCCTGTCTTCCGGCCTTTTTCAACATCGCTCCCTCCCTCCCTCCCTCCCCTCTCTCTCTCTTTTTCTCTCCTCTCTCTCCCCCTCTAAGGCTGCTCCCCTCAGCTGCTCCCTTTTTTCCGATGTGCTCTTTAACCTCTTACCTTCCTTCCTGCGGGCGTTCCCTCCCCCCCTGGTAGATTTTAACAGTTTGCCAAATGGTTTTCAAGTAAGCTGTACTCTATAGAGTCCAATGGGTAAGAAATACACTTTGAGGTTAATTGAACAGTTATCAGTGTCTTACATTAACCATGTGAGTATGCCGCAGACTTAGTAGAGCTGCTGAAAGATAACAAACTGAATATTCCTTTTAAGGTGAAAAAAATAATAAAAAAATAAGACAACCTGTTTGATTCACTTAAATCACTCAGTTGAAGACATACTGAAGAATTAAGTTTGTCTATCTTGTCATTATCTTCCTCTTTTTTTTGTTCTTCTTTTTTCCCCAGTAGCACATGGAGCCCACATGTTGTGCAGATCAGTCTTTGTGTCAGACTTTACTGCCAGTACAATATGTCTGCAGTACGAGCGCGCGTGTGTGTGTGTGTGATGTTTAATCGTCTGCACATCTCTCCGTCCGTCTTTTAGAGATTTTATTTTGAAAGTCGGTAAGAATAAAAGCCTGTGTGTGTGGGTGTATGAATAAGTGTGAGTTTTGAGTATCTTTTGTGCCTTGTCTGCTCATTTTCTAGGATTTTGCGTGTGTGTGTCAGTGTTTTTGCACACTTGCTGCCTGCGTCGCAGCTTACAGCACGTCTGTGTGCCGACTTTTATGTGTGTCGGTGCGCGCGTGTGTGTGTGTGCGCTTTTTTTTTTTTTTTTTTGTTACTCTAGCTGCTGACAGTAAGTCTGTCTGTCACCTCCAGTCTCTATCTCACACACACAGGCTGTCCTGCTCAGAATTAAATCCTACACACCAACACACCCATGCGCACACACTCTCATCCAGCTCAGACTTATTAATGCCCAAATTTTAATTCTTTAATCCACGTGAGGTGTGTGTAACAGACGGGAGGTTTGTGATGTTGACGACGTTTCCATTGAAAGAGAGGCTGGCGTTTGGTTAATGTGACACATGAATGTGCACACTGAGCATGCTGTGTCTGTCTGTCGGTGCAATTGTGTGTTGTTGAGTGTGTGTGTGTGTGTGTGTGTGTGTGTCAGTTTGTGTAGGGCAGTTGGGCAGGTGCAGAGACAGCTGGTGTGGGCAACTCTAACCGAGGGGGAGGACGAGAGCGAGGGAGAGATTCCTAGAGAATGACATGAATATAGGGTAGCAATTGAGCTGCAAAAGAGGGGAAACGAGTGTGTGTGATGTTGCCAGTGGTGAACCGCTTTGATAAAAACACACTGAGCTAGTGTGCTTGAGTGAGACAGATGGAGAAAGACAAAGAACTATCACGCCACTTTACACAGCAATAGATGAGTTAGTAAAAACAGAACTGATTAAGGGCTATCAGTGAACTAAGTTTTTCCTTTTAAATATATAAAAAGCAATTGGCCTATATGTCTGTGCAGGAACTCAGCAAGTGTGTTATTGAACTTGATATTTTCAGTATCTGTGCAGATGTGCATTTTCTGTAATCGTAGCTATTTAAGCTTTGATTTGAATAACAAGCCGACTTTGAGTCACAAATGACGATGACTGTAATATATTTCATCCTTTTGGGATTTACTACCCCCCTCTGAAGTCTGCAAATTGAATGCTCGCTCTCCATAATACCCGTGCTACACACATGATGCCGACCGATGTTTGAGCAATTACACCGACACCTTGAGAAACGAAAAGATTCCCACCACTCTCATTTTGCGTTCATTTTGAAGCCTACTGTACTTTTTTTTTTTCAGAAGAAGAAATCATTGTGAACCATAAAGTCAAACTTTACGTTAATCACCACTGCTGGGTATGAGAAGTATACTGGGTGTTCACTTTGAAAAGCCAGAATCAAACTGTGTCACATTTGAAGTGGACATCTTAACGTATGAAATCGATGAACATTTTATGAACTACCTGTTTCTTTGTCTCTCCTGTCTTTGCCCTGCCTCATGGAAAGACACTGCCCTCTAGTGCTCAAACGGGGTCATTTATCAGTCACTGCATCACGTCATGCAGAAGGCCTGAAATGCCTCTGCTGGTCTTTTTCTTTTCTTTTTTTCAGACAACCACATGACATAAACACCCTCAGGGACTAAGGATAGAAAGGACGATGAAGGCTTCTTTCCATATGGCGTTAAGAAAGATTCTCTAAAACAATTTTTCGCCTTTAAAGAATACGTTGGATATGTTGCTTAATGTGCCCTCCTTTCTTTTTCTTCCATGTTTTACAGGAGGAGGCCATCCCTGAGCTGGAGATAGATGTGGACGAGCTGCTTGATATGCCCAGTGATGTTGAGCGGGCAGCCAGGGTCAAGGTAGGATCCAAATATCAATCCAGTAGACGCATTTAAAGAAACAGTGTTACCAAAGACTCCATATGGATTTACTGTCTGTCTTTACATGTTTTACAGGACCTACTGGTTGACTGTTTTAAACCTACTGAGGTAAGAGTTTTTTCGTTACCTTTAACCCTCATGTCTATGTTCTGAGGGGGAGGTTTTTGTTTCTGAATCGTCATGATGTGTTTTGTCCCTCCTCTCTCCCTGTAGGACTTCGTGTCAGAGCTGCTCGACAAGATCCGAGGGATGCAGAAGCTCTCCACGCCTCAGAAGAAATGATGGCCTCCCTCCTCTTCCTTCTCCTCCTCCTCCTCCTTCTCCTCCTTCCCAAGATCCTCCCCTCCACCTCAGCCTCTCGTCTTCCTGCCGCACTTTCTTTTTTTTTTTTTTTAAGGGGGTTTTCTGACATTCAAGATCTTCTTGCGAAACATCTTGTTACACTCGTTGTTGTCAGACCCTTTTCTTAGTCTCTCCTCTTTCAATATTCTTCTCTTGTTGCCTGGATCCAGCCCTTTTTAAATTGCTGTAATCTTTAGTTTGAGTTAAAGCGAAGTAAAGAATGCATAATAACCAGGCGAGAACAACCACAAGCAAATTATTGGTCTCGATTCAGGCGCTCTCCTTCCCTCTCTTGTTTCCCTCCTGCCTCCTTCACCCCTTTGTTTTTTGCCTTACTCCTCTTCCTTGTCCAGCTCGTTTTCTTCCTCCCACCCCGCTGCGTACCACCCTCCGTCTGTCTGAGGAGGGAGAGAAAAGGAGACGAGATGAGCCCTGTAATTACTGAGCGGGAAGAGGAACAAGAGAGGAAATCCTGAAACCTCTTAGAAAGGAACGAAGGAGACACAACCAATCGGATTGAAGGAGGGCCTAATCACTGCTAGTATCTCAATATCTCAACCAATGAGGCTCCTCGTTTTGTTATTTTGTGAGTTGTACATGATCCAGCTACCAACACGGATTCTTTTGATATTTTCTCATCAGTTTGAGGGCACAGGGACATTAACTTGACTAGTTTTTCGACTTTTTGGGGGTCCGTACAGTCTTTTCAGATCACTCCCCCCCCCCGCCCCCGTAATCAGAGGCATTTTCCTACAGTGGTGCATTTTCAGACTGTCTTTTCCTTGTGTGTGCATTTTTCTTTTCTTTTTTGAAAATCTGCACTATGTCATTTTGGGAAGAAAACCTGAACCTCTGACCACAGGAATAATGTACGGTATTATCTCAAGGCTAACGAGAGGAAAAGTTGATCCCTTGATATAGTGGTTGAACCTTAAAAAAAAAGTCACTGGTTGGCTGTGGTTGTCAAACAGTCCTGCTAATTATAGAACATAAAAGACCTTCCTTTGAGGCTAGAGTAGAAGTAGTTTCTCTTAGGTTGGGTGTACTGGAATAGAAGTAATAGTCTTTCGAGGGGGGGGGGAACTATTTTTCTTTCTTCAAACGTGTGGTGCAGTCATAAGAGAGGCTATAAAAGCCACTGCTGTCCAGTCTGCACATATTACAAATATGTACGTCTGTGTGTTGCTAAATGCTACGTACGTGTGTTGCTACATAATGTACAGCAACATTTATAATAGGGGTGTTTTTCTGGCCTGTATATTCTGCTGTTCTGTACGAAGAATTAGGTTTTTAGTATAGGACTGGTTCCTTTTCTATTTGTTTTTTTGTTTTTTGTGCTGTTTTTTTTTTTTGTTTTTTTTTGTCAAACACACACTGACAGTCCGACAGGGGGACCCTAACAAAGCTGCCTTGTTTTTTTCTTTGTATTATCCCCCCTTCTCTCTGTCTTTTTCTCACTTTCTCCCGAAACTTTTTGACATGATTTAATCCAACACACCAGCTCAGAGCAGTCACACATACATGGATACTCTGAAAATGTCATTGGGGCTCCATGTTGGTGTGGGGGGACTGCGGCTGTCCTCTGCCTGTCAGCACATTTGACACATTATAATGAGATAGAGAGAGGGAGGAAGGGAAGCCGCTCTTTTTTTTCTTTTTTTTTTACACTGAAGCTGTCTAGATGCATTCACCCTTCTTTTCCCCTCTTGTGTCTCATTCACACAAACACAGGACACCCTGTGCGGATCAACCGGAATCACATAAGCACATAAAGCTGCCTCTTACACAGATGTGCGCACACACACACACACACACACACACACACACACACACACACAAGGCAATGAGAAAAGAGAGAGAAAGATAGAGAGACACAGGTCCATAGCTGTCACAACATTTGTGTGTTTCCCTGCCGCAGCTGCCAATCATCACCAAGAATAAGCCATCTGTTTCTTACCCTGAGCCAATCAGATCAGAGACAGAGCCCAGCAGCCAATGGGAGAAGCAGCAACATTTGCTGTGACTCTTTTGGCCAAGAGCTAACACCTGCGGTGAAAGCAGACCTCCACCGTTCATCTCTTTCTTTCAAAATCAACACACACACGCACACACGTACACATTCATTGGCCCTTTTTCACCTTGCTGCTCTGTCACTCCCCCCGACATCCCCCTCTCTCCTCCCCTTCCTCCTCATCCCATCCATTTTCATCCTTATGTCAGCCTCCCTTTCTCCTTTCTACGTTTTCTTTTCCTTTTTAAAAAAAAAAAAACAGATGTTGCCTTAGGTATTATTTATGTTACACAAACCAAATAAACGTGAGACATTCATTTTTAAAAAGGTAACACAGACTGCTAAAACACGTGTTACCGAGCAGAACTGCGGCATCTTCTGTCGCTCCTCTTTTTCCTTTTTGAAAAACAAAACAAAACAATGAGATTCTCTTGTTTGTTTTTGTTTTTTTTTAGAAGTGAGTGTTTAATACGTAGGCCTTGATAAAAGTGATTCTGTTTAGATAAAACAATGTTCTTTACATTTACCATTTGAATACTGGTCTGTTTTTATTGTGATCATGACACTTCTCGATGCCAGGCCTGGGAATCATGTAGTTTAACAAAAATCCATTCAGATACATTTTGGTGCGATTGCTTTTGCCTTCTTGATGTGGTTTCCAAATCTAGCTGGGTCTGCAGTTTTTGGAGACCGTCTGATTGTTGGGGTTGTTGGCAAGCTCAATCAATTGCTGCATTTGAGTGGATTTTCATTTCTAAATCCAGGTTTGGATGATACCTACTTAGACTGTTATTGAGAAGTCTGTTTTTTTACTGTTGGGGAAATTGCAAAAATGAAGTATATATACCGAATATCAACATTGAGGCTAAATACAAGAACTAAACCGTACGGATTGGAGGAATGTAGTTGATTTTTTTGGACAAGGATTAGATCAAACCAACAAACAAATGTAGCAATATCAACAACAGGTCTTGTTTTTGCCCAATTTTGTTACACTTTTATGCAACTTTAATAAAAACATACAAAATGGACATTCTGTGTTTAATTTATTTTTTATTGGGGGGGGGGGGTCTTCAGTCAAATCAATATGTGTTTCTACTTTATAGTCTTCAGTCTAGTTCAGAACATTATCTTTACCTTTCATAGTCATACATGTGCAAGTTTTTCAGGGTTTGCAGGAGCCCTTTAAAAAATATAATTTTCTAAGCATTTGAACCCAATTTGACTTTTCTTAGTAGGTGAAGAAGAGAAGAACAGTCGATAAAGGATACTTATGTTGTTCCAAAAGTGTCCTTTAATGTCAATGACAGGAGCTAGCTGTATCTATCTATATCACAACATGGTATGCAGACTTCATTAATATTAATTCCAACAGAAATCTTCCTGCATTGACATGCCAAAATGTCTGCCATGAAAAGAGCCTATTGTCCAACTGATATATTATGAAATCCACCATCATTTTTTGCAAGGTTCTCTTAACATCTTGCATTGCTTTGGTGCCATCTTGTGGTTAATTACTGTAGCACAACTACAGGTATACCATGATGTGTGAAGCATGACATCTCTTACGCAGCCTAGTTGAATCCTCGTGTTCATGTTTTGATTGGTAAACTATCGACCCTATCAGGGACACAGAGAATCAAAGTATGAAACTCTCAAAGATATCCTATACTTAGATATTTTAATCTAAATGATTTGGCAACAGGTAGAAAATTACCAAAAGTGATGTTTATGGTTATCAATGTAGAAAAACATAATATTGTATTGCTTTGTATTATATTGCACAGTACAGTCTTTTACATTGAATGATATTATAGTACAGATGAGTACATTACAGTGCATGATAGTATAGCACAGTTCAGTACAGTGCAGTACATAACAGTGCATGGTATAGGACAGTAGCTTACAGTACATTACAGGGCATGATACTATAGAATAAAATAGAATTACTTTATTGATCCCAAACTGGAAATTGTGGCGTTACAGCAGCAGTTTGTCCAAACACACAACATGAGTAAAAAAAACACAATGTTAGCAAATCTAAACATAATATAATATTAACTACAAAGTAAATAAGCACTAAAAATATCAAAACTAAGAATGGGAATATATACAACCAGGATTTAACTTAGCATTACTAGTCTTAAATAGGAATATTACATATGGAAGATTAAATGTAAATGTACAAAAACAGAGTTGTAAATGGACAGTATTGACTATTGTATAGTTCAGTACAGTACAGTACAGTATAGTACAGTGCAGTAGGCTACAGTACATTACAGTGCGTGATACTATAGTATAGTGTAGTTCAGTTCAGTACAGTACAGTGCAGTAAATTAGCATGATAGTACAGTACAGTGCAGTAGGCTACAGTACATTATAGTACACGCTAAACAGTGGATAGTAAAATATGTTTATTATATATTTTTTTTAAATATTTGTATATATGTTATAATAATTTTAATATGTTATAATAATTATATATATTTATATATTTTTTATATATATAATAATAATTATAATAATACATATAATAATTATATATTTTTTTAATATTTTTATATATATTTTTTATATATTTTTTATATATATATGATAATTATAATCATATATATATTATAATAATATATAATAATATATTTATATATTTTATATAAAATCGTAGATGCGCGGGATTTCACGTGGGGTTTTTAGCAAAAGACTAAATCGTGATTGGCTCACTAAACCTGAGCTACAATCTTGATTGGATAAGCTCGGTTTGTGATGGTTGCTCCAATTGGTCAGCACAGCAGCAGCGCTTGGTGCTGATTGGCTGAAGCTCCGGGTTGTAGTCTTGTGAAAGTGTCGAACAAACTGACTGCTGAAGTGAAGAGGAAGTACTTTTGAGAATGGAAATCTAAGAAATGAAAGGTTGAGTTTGAAGAGGCGAGCGGAGGGAGAAGGTAAGCCGGGCTCTTCTGTCATCTGTCTGAGAACACGAAGACTCGCTGTGGGGTTTCTAAACGTTAGCTAACGACAGTGTTGCACTTGTCACTTTTGTTTTATTCGCCGAGTATTTGACACGAAAGTGCAACAGCGACTATCGACTGAATCTTCGGTTAAATACGTGAACACACCGTTGGTTAAAACATGCCCCACATTCTAGGTTTTTGTTTCAATTTGTGTCCGTAGCGTTAACCATCTTACTGTGTGACGTCACCAGTGGTCAAGCTAGTTTAAAGTGAACGTACGCCCGCGGGGACGAAACAAAAGTGGATGTACACAAACGCAACCCTTTTTTTATTATCATCATTATTATTATTTGTATTTGTTCGCCATAAAGCGCTTCTAACAAACGAGACCATTTGTTGTTGTTTTTGTTTTGTAGTTGTTGCTCTTTAATAAAAAAGTCCAGTAGTTTCCGGTTTCTTGCAGTGTTGTTTGAAACTGGCTTGACTGAGGTGTTGAAGCCTTCAGGTAGCTCGACGTCCCGCCCGCCGGCTTATCACTGTTACTATGTATAGATGTGTAATATGTGATAGAATAGAATGGAATAGAATATAGAATGGAATGGAATGGAATGGAATATAGAATAGAATAGAATATAGGATAGAATAGAATAGAATATAGAATGGAATAGAATATAGGATAGAATAGAATGGAATATAGAATAGAATAGAATATAGGATAGAATAGAATATAGAATGGAATAGAATATAGAATGGAATGGAATATAGAATAGAATATAGGATAGAATAGAATATAGAATAGAATATAGAATGGAATGGAATGGAATGGAATATAGAATAGAATAGAATATAGGATAGAATAGAATAGAATATAGAATGGAATAGAATATAGGATAGAATAGAATGGAATATAGAATAGAATAGAATATAGGATAGAATAGAATAGAATATAGAATATAGAATGGAATGGAATATAGAATAGAATATAGGATAGAATAGAATATAGAATGGAATAGAATATAGAATGGAATGGAATAGAATATAGAATGGAATGGAATAGAATATAGAATGGAATGGAATAGAATATAGAATAGAATAAAATTACTTTAATGATCCCAAACTGAGAAATTGTGGCGGTACAGCAGCAGGTTGTCCAAACACACAACATGAGTAAAAAACACAATATTAGCAAATCTAAACACAATATAAAATTAAATACAAAGTAAATAAGCACTAAAAATATCAAAACTAAGAATGTGAATGAACAACCAGGATTTAACTTAGCATTACTAGTCATAAATATGAAGATTAAATCTGGAAGATTAAATGTAAATGTGCAAGAACAGAGTTGTAAATGGTTGTAAATTAAATCTGGAAGATTAAAAGTAAATGTGCAAGAACAGAGTTGTAAATGGTTGTAAATTAAATCTGGAAGATTAAAAGTAAATGTGCAAGAACAGAGTTGTAAATGGTTGTAAATTAAATCTGGAAGATTAAAAGTAAATGTGCAAGAACAGAGTTGTAAATGACAGTATTGACATAAGTTAAAGTGCATGAGTGTAGACATGTTATAAGCAGAAACTATACAATATAACGGCGAGTAGACAGACAAATGAAGTGAACATGAGTGCAGGATAATTTGTAAATTTAACATGTGCAGAACAGATTACAGTATGGAGAGACAGATATTATCATGATGCTTTTCTGTGAGCACATTTGGCTTCAATTCACCATAAAACTACGGAAAAACTGCTTCACCGTGTTTAAATATTGTATGGAGTCAACAGGGGCAGGCATGGAGAGGCAGTTAAGTACAGTGAAGGAAAATTAGTTTAAAATCAATCAGGAGAGAAGGCTGTAAACACAGAATGAAGACAAAAAGAAGGGCTAAACGGGACACTGGTTAAATGAATAAAGCAACAGAGAGCTGAAGAGTTAAAAGATAAAAGGAGTAGGAATTCAAAAAGACTAAGAGCAGTAAAATGAATACAGGAAGGGATACAGTTAAAGGCTAAAACAGTTAAAGAAGAGAAAGATAAAAAGGTTAAAAGCAATAAAATGAATAAAAGGAAGGGATAGATCTTTAAAGGAGAAATCACATAAAAGCAAGTTTAGACTTATCTAAAAATAGATGCTCCTACCTTAGTACACCCATGTCAATTAACCTAACTTATCGGATTTTTTACAGATGTTTTGTGTATCTCTTGCCAAATATTGTAATTGTGATATGAAAGCCAATTCGTGCTCATGTAACACTACATTTTATATCTCTAAGTCAGGAAATTAATAAGCAAATTGCTTTTTTTCAATTCTGAAATGGTTTAGAATAAAGTGTAGGTTGTTCTCTGCAACATCTCTGCAGTTTTATGTATGACTTTAAGTTCACTGCACCACTTAATTTTAAAGAACTGACACATTGTGGTAGTAAGCGGCACCTTAACACAATATATAACTTGTTAACAGAGGGAAAGGTAACTCATTCATCAATGACATAACTCAATTTGAATTGTTGTTTGCGTGTTTCGTCGCCAGCCATGCCTGCGCAACCCCCTGTGAGGGAGCCAGAGGAGGAGATGGAGGCAGAAGGAGAGTCACAACTCCCAGAAGCCAACGGAGACTTGGAGCAACCTAGAGAGAATAACAGAGGAGGAGGAGGGGGTGAAGAAGAGACTATGGAGGAGAGCACAGAGGAGAGGGACAGCGATCTGGATGAGAGTGAGGAGGAGGAAGAGGAGGAGGAAGAGGAGGAGGAGAGTTCAGGTAAACCAAAGTGTCCCCCACTTGAAAGTCTTCCAACTGCACTAAGGGAGATACTGTGATTATTATTATTTATTTTCACTGTTCCTGTCTCTGTTCTCTGTGAAGAGATGGATGATGAAGACTGCGAGCGGAGGAGAGGAGAATGTCTGGATGAGATGTCGGACCTGGAGAAACAATTCCAGGAGCTGAAAGAGAAGTAGGTTTTGAAAGAGGAAGGTGTCAAGAAGATCTACTCTTACCTCCATGTGGTGTGGTTCGCCTATTGAGCTGCTTATTCTGCAGGTTGTTTCGGGAGCGGCTGAACCAGGTGAAGGTGAAACTGGACGAGGTGCTAACAGGGAAGGCTGGAGAATATCGAGAACCGCTGGCTGCACTACAGAACAGCATGCAGATACGGACTCAGGTGGCCGGTAAGTAGAACACAGTGTTCTCATTGTGAAGTGTAAGAAGTTACTCTGACCACAGCAGCAGCATTGTGTTTTTGGAGGTAAACATGTTTTTGCCTTTACACAAAATACACAAAACATAGAGTTCTATAAAGATATTGAAGTCTACTGTACAGTTTATTAGTATGGTATGACACATGGCCACTTGGTGGAGCTGTTCAACAGCCTTGCATGTCTTTGCCTGGATTAAGAGAAACCTACCCACATTGAATGTAAAAAAAAAAAAAAGTAGTCAGCAGGTATATAGTCAACACAATATCAAACATTGTTCTTGCACATCCTCATATAGTGAAGGCTTACCTGGAAAAAAAAAAGTTTTAATGAGCTTTATTAGATAAATAAGATGTCACTATCTTTATGGTTCTGCTTCAAAGAGTAACTAATAGGAGAAGCAGAGGAAGTCTAAAAATATCCTCGGTGGTGTCCGTCTGTCTGTCTGTCTGTCTCTGTACAGGAGTGTACAAGGAGCTGTGTCTGCAGGTGATCAAACACAAACACGAATGTGAACTACAGGGAGCAAAGCAGCACCTGGAGGTAATACACGACACCCAGTTTCTACGAGACGGGGGGAACTCGCTCTTTAGCCAGTGTACTAATGCATGGATGTGTTGTGCAGAGCGAGCGGACGTTGCTGTTTGATGCCATGAAGACAGAACTGCTGGAGAAGATAAGACGCCTGGAGGAGGACAGACAGAATGTTGACATCACCTCAGGTACGAATCAAATAAGAATTTCATAGTTGTATTAATCATTATAAATCGCCTTGATTTAGAGAATAAAATACTAGAATTATAGCGATTACTCACCATGCTCTTGACACCGCACTAATGATGCTAAGTACTTTGTGGTAGAGTATGCATGCAGAACAATCATCAATCAAACCATCATTATTTGTATAGCCCCAATGCAGAACAAGTGTTGTCTCTAGACACTTTCCAAAAGAGCATATGGGATATGCAGGAAGGATTTCTTCTTCCCAATACAAGGGTTGCAAACTTGCATGTAGGCACAAAATGTGTCTTTTTTTCTGTTTGCTGACATTTAGAGAGCTACAGACAATTTTATTTCAGTCACTGTAACTGACAGCTGACTTTGCTTGTTATTGATTGTTGCTTGAAATGATTATGTTGTTGTGTATGACCTTCAAATGGCTAAAACAGCGAGCTAGGATTCTGCTATTTACAGAGGAGTGTGTATTATTAACAACAAATGATTTGAACGACGAGACAGGTGATGAAGTGATTTTCCCCTTCATTTCAGAATGGAGTGATGAGGTGAGGAGCAAGAAGTGTAAAAGAAAGAACCAGCTGGGTCGGTCGGAGAGGAAAAAGAAAGTAGCTCTGGTTTCAGGTGAGACTTCTTTCTCTGTTAGATTAGGCTCTGGTCTCACTGACATCCTACCACTTCTCAGAAACGTCTTCTTGTACAAGTTGTTGTCCAGCTGTTCCTCTGTGATCTGAAATTGTTCTCTTCCCGTGACACACACAGAATGAGTTTATTTAACTTTTGTCAGGCTTTGTCTGTGAGCTGGAGTTTGACGCCAACAGATCCTTTATGAGCTCTCCCTCTGTGTCCCATAGGGCCTTTCATCGTCTACATGTTGAGGGACATCGACATCCTGGAAGACTGGGCGGCTATCAAGAAGGTAACAAAGGAGTTGCTTTGTTCCTACTTATCTGACAAATACACATCGACATGCTCTCTCACAAATAACCTCTGCTAAATATACCATCATTACAAATGTATTTTTGGTAACTTGGTCTTTGTGTGTTTTGTAGGCAAAAACAGCTCTCACACCACTAAAGAAGAAAGTTGAAAGTAAGTGTTCCTAACTCCAGACGTGTGTGTATTTACTGTGTACATACATGAACATACAGACAGCTTCTTTTCTGTAAGCCATTCTTTTTTGTCTTTCAGAGCGGTGATAATAGGAGCAACTTATTGAAGACCAGCTGCAAAGAAACCAAACTGACACACACACACACACACACATTCCCAGTTATTCCCACTTACAGTTCAGGTTTTGTCTCCCTGGCTGAACTCAGCAGACTTACTGTGTTGTGTGTTGTTGTTGTTTTTTGTTTTTTTTTTAGCTTTTTACCCCAGCACTCCTCTTCGTGTTTATCTATTGCTATTTAAAAGAAGTTCTTAATAATATGACAACTATGTATTTATAGAATGATTTATAATGTGGATTAAAATTTTAATCTTTTGTGACAGATTTTGCTTCTTCCTCTGGTTCTCTTTTGGTCTCTGTGGGTTTTTTTGTGTGTTTGCACGACATCATTCCTGCTCCAGGTTAAAAAACGTTTTATATTAAAATTAACTTTTTGGCAAGACCGACTATATTAAGGCAACCAGCTCCAAAATATTCTTTTTTTTTTTATGCCATTTTACTTTGAGTAAAATGCTGAATTAAATTGTATTTTTTTCCTCACATAAGCTGGCTTGTGAATATTTAGTTCACTAAAATCAAAAAGAGCAATGATAGCAACAAATGTGATATTCATCCACACCATATATGGCTCTGTAAAGCAGCATGTGCAGGTGTTGTGTGCAGTTAAAGGTTGTTGATCAGTGCTTGTAGCAGAACCTTTGCTCCTCCTGCATCTAGCAACAACAGCTTTTGCCACATTCATTTCGATCTTTCAATTCAGTCTGGAACTATCTGAGCACTGCCGAGTTGCCCTTGAGCAAAGGCACCAATGCCCCAACGGCTCCGGTGCTCTTTCATGTTCACCTCTCCATTAGTGCATGTCCAGAGGATCCTGTTTGTGCGTGTGTGTGTGTGTGTGTGTGTGTGCAGCATGACTCAACAACAGCGTGTAAAAGTCATTTCCACTCGCAGGATTAATAAAGTATATCAAATAAAAATACAATAAACGCATAAGGCTAGTATGGCTAATTCTATAATATAATTTTTAAAAAGCCAGAGCAAATTACCACTATAATAGAAAAACCATTAGCCATTTAACATGAACAATATTATAGAGTACAACGCTGAGTTTATATTAACTCAATAAAAGAAGTGTGGAAGTCAAGTTAAAGGAAGAGGACAGAAAATGCTTGAAAATAACAGGAGTACTTTTGACGTTGTTTATTTGCTATTTGAATTGACAGGGGAAAGATGACACTATAGTGCAAATATGTCTGTTACACAAAACTGCAAAAACAAGCTGTCACCATTGATAAAGTGCGTAGTTCTTAGTTTCCCTGACTAACCACAGACACAGGTGTTTATTATTACTACACAGAAAAGGTCAGAAATGTTACTCTGATGTCAAACGTCTAACTGAGTTGGCTTCCCCTCAACTCTTTCCTGTCCTGAAATGCATTCTGGGATCATTTGTAAGTGTCCAAAGTAGACACCATCTCTCAAGTACCCTTTTTAAGTTGAGGCCTGTTTCAGACTGCATCCTTTTTATTTGCATGTTTTCTTTAAATTCTGCATCCACCACAACAACAGTTCATGACATCGCTTTTTTTTTTTTTTTTTTTTTCACTCTTCCTCGTCTGCTCACAGCTGCTTGCTGAGTTTACGTGCCTGCCTCTCCCTGGCTTCGAAGGCGGCTTTGGTGTCCATCAGCTCATCCAGCTGCCGGCGGATGCGGGCCATGTCGAGCTGGGAGGCCTCGCACTGCTCCCTGAGGGCCGCCGACTCCACCCTCAGCTGCGTGGCGGCCATGGAGAGCTGCTCGCTGCGTTCGCGGCACTGCACCTGCATCCTCTTGGCGTCCTTCAGGAGGGACTCCACGCTCACTGCCACGGATTCACACTGATCCTGAGACATGTCCTGTGCGCGGACCAAAGGATGGATGGAGGTCAAGGTGAAAAATTAGTCAAATATATTATCTAATTAGATCTTAGCAGTCAGATGCAAGAAAGTAGAGACTTATGTTTGTTTGACTGAGTTCTGTTCTGTACCATCTGTTAAGCTCTTCAGTCTGAAAAGCAGATACACTGAATCAGTAGGTTGCAGTCAGAAGTCCAGCACAGATCAACAGGTTTAAAACAGAACATTTGATCTGTGTGGTGTGAAGTAGCTTTAAGAGGCTTATCATAGCTTAGCCTAGTCTACAGTGTCCACTGCTCTTTTATCCCCATCCCAGCATTCAGCCCCAGTTCACTTATTCAAGCTCGTTATTTCTATTCAATGCGACCAAAAGGAGGTGAAAAAGTCTTACCACGGGCTCTAAAGTCAAATTTATCACAAGCTTTGAGGTCGTCTTCTGACAGTCAAGATGCAGACAGTCCTTGATGTCCTCCAGAGCGCTCTCCCCCTCCTGGTTGTCCTTTTTTTTTTAGACTTCCTCTTGAAAAGGAGTTACACTTCTTCTTCCCAATATTCTTGTTTTTTTTCTCAGTTTTCCTTACACATGTGTCTGCTGTTCCTTCACCGTCCTCCCGACTGCACGTCGTCTGGTCAGTTATCTCTGCGGTCTGGCTCAAAGCTTGAGCCAGGTCAGGTAATCCACAGAGATTAAGCTGTTAAGAAAAGGGAAAGTCATGTTGTAGTCACAAGAGTAAAGCTCATTCTGTCTATTTTGATCTGTGATTCATTTACGTACTGTATAGACATGCTCAGTTTTCTTTTAAAACAATTCAGATAAATGTCTTTATTTAGGCTATGCAGTTTGAGTATTTAATAATTTACCTGCAGTGCACAGATTGACCCTTTAGTTTGTTTGATACAACAAATGAGCCCCTGCTGGAGAGAATAGGACAAACATTGTTCAGCTTTGTCCTCAATCACTGCTGTTTATCACTTGGATATGATTGGACAATATAATATATGATTTTCATAAAAACATTTAAAGGACTACAGTTGTATTGAAATACAGGATCATACAAACTATTTAGAGGTTTATACTGCAGGCTTCAATCTGGAAATCATCAAATAACAGCAATCTGACATGAATAAGTGAATCGGACACATAACCACAACAATGCAAATATTACAAAATTAGGCTGTGCTCACTATCAGCCAGCAGAGGGAGACATAGTTCAACATATCTTTTTTTTCCCCCCATGAAACAAATCCCTTTATAACCAAAAAAGCAGCAGACACAGAAGTTTGTTGTGTTTCAACTCTTTGGTTTATTGGTGTAAACTGCAGATTTGCTTCATACCAAGTGCTGCATGTCTTAAGAAAAATCTCACTCACACACACACACACACACACACACACACACACACACACACACACACACACACACACACACACACAGGGATGAGTTTAGGATTTGATGAGCACCCAAGAGTGAAGCTAGTCGGGTTAGTAGAGGTCAAAGTTCTGTGATGGTGATGGCACTTTATACGGTCACAGTGATGTTGATTCAACCTATCGCATGTTTTTCTTTTAAGGTTTTTTTTTGTTCCTATGTAAAAACTGAACGGTCAAAGATGGAAAACACAAACATTTTCAGACAAAAGAAATTAAAAAAAACTATGTTAAATGAAAAAAACATCATAAATACAAGACAACTTACAAAAATGAACATGAAGGTCGACAGTAGATCATTCAAATGTTAAAGGGTTAAAAAAAAAGAAGTGAAATTGAAACAGTTGAAACAGCAGAGGGACCATTCCTCATTCTTTATACCATTTAGACATTTTAAACACAATTTAGTACATTTTCCGGTATGTTGGCTTTACTGTATTGTCGTGACCCTTACAAGACCAACTAAATCTTCTGCTTCACAGAGTTAGAACATGACTGCTTGAGAAATCTGTCTGCGAAAAAAAAAAATGAAACTGATACACAATAGCAGTCAGCTAGGTTAGAAAAACAACCGTTTGGCGAAGGAGGCATTCAATGTCACTGAAAACGTAGTAAAAAAAACTTTAAAAAAAAAACTGTTTGGAAATAAGGAGACAAAGAGCAAACTTTAAGAGTTACAAAAAAAATCCTAAACTGTGTTTCTACATGATGCCAAAGGATGCACTAACATTTAGACACATTTTAAAAAGGACTTGTAGTTTTCTTTTGAACTCTTGTACGAAATGTGGCAAAAAGCGATTTAAAAATGTAAGATGAGTGAAAAATGTCTTTGTGTATAAAAACATTTGCCATTCACAATCACATCCCAAATACAAAATATGAGCGCACTAATGAAATAAAAAAAGTACATGTCTAAAACAGACTTTCTCCCATGTCTTGGTTATGTAAACAACAGTGATGCAGTAGTCAGGTGTCGCGGTGGCTTTGGTAACTTTGTAAATGTGGGAAACAGGAACATCTAGCTTTTGTTTGTGTAGACAAGTCAGCGTTGACGGACTTAAGGAGGCACTTTTTGTTTTCTTCTATTAATTGATATGTATGTGACGAGGTGGCCGAGTGGTTAAGGCGATGGACTGCTAATCCATTGTGCTCTGCACGCGTGGGTTCGAATCCCATCCTCGTCGGGCGTGTGTTTTAACTCTGATGCAGTGACAAATGAATACTGCTAAATGTTTCACATGTGACCTGATAATGATAGGTGTTAGTATTCACTCTGCCTCCTGAAAAATACAAAGCCGTGTCTAATAAAGGACTTGACCTATTTCCCACATTACCATGTTGTTGTTGTTCTGTTTTTTGTAAGTAACCTGTGAACCGTGTCCTCACTGTGGCCGTGCGGGTCGGTTGAAAAAGGGCTCGGTCTCCGCAGCCGTCACTCCCGGATCACCAAACAGCCCTCCAGCTGGTCCGCCGAACCCTCCAGCAATGACCTTTGACCCTGAACTCTGGCGCCGCTGAATAAACACCAGACCACCGATGATGAGCCAGAAGAAGAAGTTGACCCACACTGCCGTCTGAGAGGGAGACAACAAATCATATGTGCTTTTTCTCTTGACTTAAAGACACATTAAAGCAAATTTCACTCCATAAGAAAGTTTGTTTAGGAACTGATCATTCTTAAAAGATACTTAATAATTAAAGAGGGAAATAAAGAACTTTAAGTCACAAAAACATTCACATTTTTTTATTCTTCAGAGCTACAAGAAACAGTCATTTGATCGTTGTCGACTTTAAATAACAAAACAGAATCAAGCCTACTGACCTCTGCTTTGTACAGACTGTTGTAGAAGCGTCCTCCTTTGAGTGGACTGACCCACTGCCTGGTCTGGGCCTCCTCACAGCTACAGAGACAAAAATAGACGACGTGTTAGAAAGCTGTTGGGAATACAGGTTTTTTTTTTTTAGTTTCAATCGATCAACAAATAGGAAGGTCTGCTGCCAGGATACTTTCATAATCATCAAGCAAAATCACTTGGACTGAAGAGATTCAAAGTAAATGATCAAATGTTGAGGATTATAAATAGATTAACTCGATGTTTGCAGAGTATACTTTTATGATAAGGGGAAAACTTCAACGGATGCATCTGTTTTCAGTTGCTATGAGAAAGCAATAAGAGCCTTCTAACTGACAGGAAGAAAAGTTTCATGTGTGACATGAGGCGGTGACAAAGTCAAAGACTGACTGACACACATTTCAAAAGCTGAATTTAAATGTTTGACTTTTAATATGAGACTGATGTGGATTATGACTCGTGCGGATGAGTGTGTGTGTGTGTGTGTGTGTGTGTGTGTCTGTGTTTATGTGTCACCTGGTAATGTTGGGAACGTTGGTTATGACCGAGTGGCAGAGCGAGTCGCGTCCGATCTTCAGCATGCACCCCGTGATGAGCAGGAAGAACAGGAAGGCGCCGCACACGATCACGATCATGTTCATCCACATGCGCTCCCTGCGAGAGAACAGAATCGAACGGGGGGAAGCGTGAGAACGGATGAAAGCCATGGAAAATAGGAATTAAAAGAATAAATTGTTTTCACCAGCTCTGAGCGACGAGGAAATGATCTCAAAACGAGTGAATCGAACACATAACAGAGTTCTAGTGGCATGACTTGCGGCTTCTTTTCATCAGTTTTTTCCGCTCTGGGGTTTTTCCCTACTTGAGTTCCTACCTCTGTAAGTGTGGGCCTTATTCCCCTTATTTCTATTTCCGCTGGTAGAATAATAAGACCACAGTTCTTTGGATGGACATTGTATTGACCCATTATTTTGTCTAGTTGTAATTGATGACCTCAATGATTCCAAATAAGACATGAGCTACATATGTGTGAACACATGGGTGCAGTTACCTTCTGACCTCCCCGTCGATGCAGAAACTGTAGAGCCAGTACAGTGACAACGAGAAACACACCACTGCCACCATGACAGATATGGCAGACACAAAGTAGCACAGAGAGGAGGAGCTGGAGGACTGGACGTCAATGAGGCTCGCTGATCCATTGTAAGAGACGAGTCCGTAAAGCATACACCGACCTCCAAAATTACCCTGACAGGGAAGAAAGAAAGTCAGAGATAATTCTTTTGTGCCTCATTTTGTAACCGTGTTGAAAAGCCTGAAGACACCCTCTCACATACGTTTCAACATCTGACTTAAAAACAGGCGAAGAGAATAATTTGGCACGAGGGCCTTCTGGTCACATGATGAGAACAGTATCTGGACACATGACTGTGTGATTACTTGTTTGTCCTCTCTTCCTCATGTTAAAAAAAGTAAAATGTTAAAAACAGTTTTTAGGCCATGAAGTTAAATATTTAGGCCTGTTTTATATTCACCATGTTTTTTGTCTCAGGTTGATAATTAAGATGAGCTTATTATATGAAATGGATATTAAAGAGGATTTGATGGTGAGGATAGTAATTTCCACTACTGAAGTTCCCTTTCTGTGCGGTTTTTTAGCTCTTTGTGATGTTTTAGTTTCAGTCAGTAAAAAGGAAGTGCGTTTCAGTGAATTGGAACAAAAACTCAACCTGAGCAAGAAACCAGAAGAAAGTGAAAGCGCTCTGCTTTTAACAATTTGTCGTACTGACTCTAATGACTGTTTCCATCTTTCCTACTGACTCTAATGACTGTTTTCATCTTTTCTACTGACTCTAATGACTGTTTCCATAAAAAAAATCAATTGTTTTTATGTTGTTTTAAAGCGTGAAACGACCGTAACAAATTATCAAAGGCACCATATGCGCACATGAGTTGAACAGAAGAACAATTGTTAAATTGAAAAGTCTGATTAACTTTACAATGTGGAACAAATTCCTTCAATGAACATAGAAGATATCTAAAATGATGTTTGGTATCTGCTGTCTCTTTGATGAATTTAAAAACGCTTTCCAGCACAGACACGCACTTTAAAAAAAAAAAAAAAAGTCTCTCTACCCGGAAGAGAATGGGAGATAAAAAAAAAAGAAAAAGAAAGTTAAGGTTGTTTTTAGTAATTTGTCGGTGAAGTCACCTGGACTATGGTGATGGACGCGGCGGTGACGATCCCACAGACGAAACAGCTGGCGTAAAGACCCAACTCCAGCAGCAGCAGTCCCGTTGATGCCATCGTCCAGCGGCCCTGCTCCTCTTTGAGAAAGGACCGGTGCAAAGACAGCAGCAATAAGATGCGACGCTTCCGGTTAGGATTTTCAAAGTAATTTTTTTTAATTAATTGCAAAGTCGCAAAATGTTGTGTGTTAAACTAAAGGCAAGGTGAACATAATTAAGCATTTGTAGAATCAGTTAGCCTACAGAAACAGGGTCGACAAGTATCATAAAGTCAATTGAATCCCTAATGAATTGTTTTACAGCCATAGCCACAGACAATAATCTTTACAGTAAAATGATAATGATAATATAAGCTTATTTCCGGAAGGGCATGCTTTTATAAGGCTTACAACTCCGTGAGTGAAAACCCTGAAGAAAAGTTTGTGTGGATAAAGCAAAAAATAGTAGGCTTAAGATACAGCCGTATAGTATTTTTAAAAAGGAAAAACAAAATGTAAAGAAACAATAGGGCTAATATTGAAAAAGTTTTGCTGATCTAAGCATTGTCATAGTCTGTGAAGCCACATGTAAAATGTTCTCTAAAGCCTGATGAAACCAATAAGATCCCAACAACTCACCCGATCTTTATTCTAGTGTCACAAATGGCGCACCTTTAATTCGGATTGTGATTTCCCTTGTTGTTCTGGCTGTTTTTTGGTTGTCTTCACTCAGCTCATGCTCAAAAGTCCTGTTGCTCGAAGCGACAATCCTGCCTTCCAGATCCCCTCCTGATATGACTTTCAATATGCCACTGCTTGTTTTTTGTTTTTTTTTAGCTCCACCACATATCCGCTTATCAATGTGTGGAAAAATGGTGTATTTGTCACACTGATGGGTCGAGGGACTTCAACACTGGTTGCCATTCATCAATTTTCTCCGGGTTAGTATCTGATTTGAATTGACAACACACTAAGATTAAATGAAAGCGGTGGGAATGAACTGTCAAGGAGTGTAAATGGATGCAAGCATCAGCTTTTGATTGATGTGAGCAAAATGTAAAAATGATAATAATCAACGTTCATGCACTTCTGCACTTTGCAGATGCTCTGCAGAATGCACTGACAGACTTCTGAGGTGCAAAATTCATATTTCACAAATAGGACATCACATGCATACTTGTGTGCTTGCTCCTATTGAGTAGACTATCAGGTGGCGAGGCTTAGTCAAAGGTTGAGCTACTTGAGGATTTAAAGGCATGTCATTCTAGTATTAGTGCTGGCCAGTGTGGGGTGTGTTAGTGCTGCCTGCAAGTAGACTCCATTCCCAGAGTGCCTGATCAAAACCTTGTGACTTTTGTCATATGACCATGCCAAGTGATACATGTCACACAATTTTTTTAATCTGGTAGATTCACTCTGCCGTCGAAATACACGTTGTTGCTCCATTCAATCCTGCTAAAGAAACATGTCATTTTCTTTTATAAATGTCACAACATGCATGGTTGGTTTTATGTTTAACTGAATACTTTCACATAGAGAAGAGAAGTTCAGAGCATCTCAGAACTGTTCACTTCACTAAAATTCGACTGAATGTAATGAACAAAAATAGGCTGGATTCAGTGATTGGGCTTCAAAACTGCTGCGAGATTCTCATCAGGCCACCTTAAGATTTTTTTTTCGCTTGGAGGAATTTAACATTTAAAAGAACTCTAATTTGAACACACATTTGTCAGAAAAGGACATCATCACGGCATTAGAAAGGTAAAAGTTATAAAAGAGGACCCCGTAACCATTTAGAGTAAAGAGACCGGACAAAAGATTTGTTTACCACGCACCAATGAGGGACGTTTAGTGGTGAATCAACATTTAATGAGGGAGAAAGCGTTCTTGTTGTTGTGGTGCTTTCCCATTTCAACAGCTGTGATTCATGTCCCTCTTTGCCAGAAGCACACAAAGTGATGCAACAATTATATTAGGAGGGGGGAGGGCATTTTATTTTAAAGGATTTAATTACGCTCACAAAGTCATTGCAGATGTTAGATCAGAAAATATACCAGCAAATAGAAAGAAAAAAAGGATTGCAGTCATTCTGGAGGCTGAAATATGACATTTTCTGTTCTTCACTGTTGATGAAGACAGTAAAAAAAATAAGTTACTTTTGCAAATTTTGCGTTATAGTTTGCGACCTCTGTGTTAATATCAAATTAAATCTACTATGTAGAGCATCTAGCTTTGACTAGGTTCACTGTGGCGAGATCCGTCCTGCAGCACAGGAGCCTTTTCTGCAAGACTCCTGTGGTTTAGATGTGTGTGTGTGTGATGCTTTCTCAGGTGCCTAGTCCAGGGCTGAGCCTCTTGCAAGCTATCATCCAAGTATTAGTGTCTCTGAGAATATGTGTATCTGTGTGTGTGGATGTTGCAGCAATGTTGTTAGATTAAAGGCTTAACGTATGATGGCATTAGTGTTGGCTAGCAGGATCTGAACACCGGGGAGCTTGTGTGTTTTAAGCACGTGTGTGTGAATGTGTGTGTGTGTGTGTGTGTGTGTGTGTGTGTGTGTTTGAATCAAGAAATCACTCCACAAACCTGGTATCACTTTTATTCACTGATAAGTTTAAACATCAAAATTCACCAAAGTTTAAATGAGGCACAGATCTAAAGAATATTATATGAACAATATAAAAGAGAGACCAGTAGAAGCAATGAGAGAAAAATAAGCGATTACAAAAAAAAAAAATGTAATGCAAATATAGTCAACATGCACTTTTAAAACACGCCACAAATAGTTTACATGTGGGCTCAATCCCACAGTGTTGTCTTTAGGAATATTCATGATATACAGGAAATATAGTGAACGCTTTCTGGAATACCTTACACATGTTGCTTTGAGCTAATTGTGCATTGTAGTTTTGCATCACTTTAAAGGAATACAAAAACAGTATTGAACAATGAGTGTACATAGAAAAAACATTGATTATTAAATTCTGTATATAGTGTCCCTCTTGGCAGAACTTTTATTACATTTTGCTTACATTGTGCCATCATGTACAAAAGCTCTATAATAATTTAATGTCACACAGAGATTGATAAAGAAGCTAAACAAATCCACTCACCAAAAACAACGGCCTGATCGTTTTCTGCAACAGGGGAAACTTCATGTTTTACATTTTACAATAAATGAAATAGTTCCAGTAAATCAGGTTTTATTCTTTTATGATTGGTCCTTTTTCTTTTTCTCGTGGATGCAAACCAAACTTCAGCTAAAACGCAAACATGACAGATCTGTGATGTTGATGAAAAGCATCCTTACACCCATCTTAAAGTATGTCAAAAACACAAGAGCTGTGGGGCACGCAGAATAAAAGGTACTACTGACACTTCAAAAAAAAGCCCACACGTAAGGCAACAGTCCATTTCCAGATTATGTTTGATGTTCTGACAAGCATCTAATGCAAAACACTGCTCAACCATTAGAGAGAGCAGCACTGAAATGTTTCAGTGTGATAGTTAAAGATTATACTTGCAAGTTTGTTTTTTTTAACTGCAAAGCATGATGATGCTTTTAACAAAAAAAAAAAAATCTGCTAATTAAAATGTTCCCAGTGAAAGTAAAGATGAAGGTATGTAATTTGAAAACTCTTAGCGCTCAGGTTTAGACTCTTTGAAAGTGTTTGGATGTTTAGTAAACAGCTGTGAGCAGCACATGTTATTACACAGAATGGGAGATTTAAAGGGGAAACACAGAAGGGAATCTTTGTTCATTGATTTAATTTACAGGGAATGCATAAATATTTCCGAGGGCATCAATGAAACATTTTGACAAAGCGTTTTGGACAGAAGCCATCATCTGGTAAAATCAACACTCACAAAAACTATATGTATTGTCCTGCAGCGACTCTTTACTTCATGACAGTTTTATCACTCCTAGAAGTCAAGTGACCGGTGAAGAATCGTTCGGAGAGAGAATTCCTTTTCAATTCGACGGTATGGTCACGTTCCTCAATAAGTGCAGTCATAAGACTCTTATCACAGCATCGAGTGTGTCAGTCTACTATAGAGCCTGTGTGTGTCCGTCCATTAAAGCAGGAATGTGCCTCCCTGCACACTAAGTCAAACAGAAGCCTTTTATTGTTTTATCTCTTCTTTTTTTTTTTAAACCAATAAATCGTGAATGAAAATAATGTTGAACTGAATGGATTTCATCTCCCAGCTCTCGCTTTGAGAAGGTTGAAATAAAATGTTCAACCTTCAGTATTTTTCTGATTTTGTGTTTATAATTTGTGTGTGTGTGTGTGTGTGTGTGTGTTTGTGTACCAGATAAAAATGGCTCCATCATCAGCCGACAGGACAGCCGGGCAGTCTGAAGGCATCTGGCACAGGACTGTCAAGCTTACAGATGATTTTATAGATCCCTTTCTTCCAGCAGGGGTCGCTGTCTCTCCCAGTCCAAATGGCTGAGTAAAACTCCCTCAGAGCCAAGTCTGACACCTCGATGAACCTCTCTGGGACCTGCGCACAGAAACCCTAATCAGGTAAGGTAAAAATGCTTATACTGACAGACGCGATGAGTCCCGTCTGTTTTCTAACCCCATAGTGGTGATGCAGTGTTTCAATTTCTTTTTTTCATTTCTCAATCGAAAACCTGGACCACAGAATACACTGAAACACTGAAATGTAAAAATGTATGTATTTTCCTCTACAGCCTCACTCTTTTTAAAATGTCTGCTGAAGACAAGGCCACATTCTGCTCAATAACTTTGCTCATAATGACACCTCCAACTTCAAGCATACAATAGAAGAGAAATCAGTTCTCTAGAAACAGCTCTTTGAGGATTTGAGCCTCTACCTGTGTGCGATAGCTATTCAAGGCTACTAATCTTTGATAATGAGTTAATGGCTCATACTAAAAGGAATTATTCTAACAGGAATGGAATTTTTTTTTTTTAACAAAAACACATTTTGAAATGTATTAGTTGTGTGTCATTGAAAATGAAAACTCACACATGTATTGTCTGTAAAGTAAAGACGGCCTATCCACAGAGTGCACAGAATGTATGTTTCACTCTTTAACTGAGAAAATGACTCATTTTGAAAACACAATCTTTTACCCTCT